TGTATTGACTGGAATCGTGCATTTTTGATTGCGAATTGAAGCACTCTTCCAGAATTGGAATTGTTATAAAGCAACCAAATATTATCTTTTGAGCGATTCTGTGCGTGGTCTATCCGGACAGGATAGAATCACGACCCTTGGGCATTGTGAGTTGAGATTAAAGGTAATGATTTTTGACCAATGTTGTGAACATTGTTAGCTGAGTGTTTATTGCGTATAACAAGATACATAACTGAAAAGATTTCCATGTCACATTGTATACCAGTTTAGTAGGAATTCGAATTCTGTCAGTACACATTCAGTATCATCATCTGCTTCTCCTCTCAATATCATCACCAAGGTGAAGTGACATTGTGAACTTGATGGTAAGTGGAAGTTCATGGACACGGAGAACCCAAGTATAGGAGATTATCAAGCACCTGGAGGAAGGAGATTTAATATGACACGGCCAAAAATTGTAACTCAACTAAGCATTAAGTAATGACGAAGTTTATTTCAACAGCAATACCACAGGGCAATGGCAACTCTCTGACTAGCTCGAAAAATAAAAGTGTTACCTAAGATGCATCATACGGAGTCGGATAAAAATATAAAATGATTAGTAAAAATCGTATTCCCATTTGGATAACCTCTATAGTAATTCCCTATTCCTCAACAGTGAATGTATGATCACTGACCGAAGCCAACGCTAAAGGTAGTTAATAGACGTCAACAGTAGGAAACTCATTACAATTTATCGAGGCTCGATAATTCCAATATATTGGTTTCTTCGACAAATCTAGTGCCAAGTCATACGGTTACCCAGCAATTTCTGGTCGCCATAGCGATTATTTAGAATTTATTCAGTCAGCGAGCAACAAGAATGTAACTAACTAATCTATCCAGTTGTCCGGACGTCCCTTGGCTCCCCAGTTAAAATGGAAAAGACATGATAGGGAATCTCGTCGAATGCGGGATTGAGCCGATGTATATTATTTACGCCGGTGTCTAGCCACCTGACGACTTTATCCTGCTCTCTCTTGTTGGAACAAACCTTATCATGTAGAATGAAACTAGATTAAAGTTATGTTGATAGGTGTTTATCATGCTTCAGGTCTTGAAAAAGATGATCACAATGCTTTCCATGAACACTTTTTCGAAAAATTTTATAATGAAGCTTGTCAAGCATACAGCCCAGTGATCTGCAGGATTTTGTCTGAATCCATGGAGAAACGTATATTTATTGCTATCAGGCAGGAAGTTTGGTTACAGGGAGATTTACTCATATACGAACTGGAATTTGGCATACATTCATACAGGCCACATGATGCGAGGATTAAGCACAAAGGCAAATTAAATCTGACTATTCCACCTGTGAATTTCAAGAACAAAAAAATAGAGGGGACAGAGACTACCAAATCGGAAAATCCTGTGTAAGTAGGTTGATTGTTCGTCCACACAAAACTCATTCAGACAAACAGGACGTAGAAGCTCACACGTTTCTGATAGAAGGCACTCACTGCCTATATGCGAACACTACGAGTTGACTAAACAAAATGAGTGAGTTGCATGAACAAAGTACTGTTAATCATACTCATGTGATAAGAATATCTTAAACGTGGTCATCTTCCTGAATTACGAACCGACACTCGGCATGTCTTTGTTTCGCAACGATAAAAAACATGAATTGGGAGGCGGAGCAGCCCTACATCCATGACCTTAATTGGCAGTACGTCAAGTGCACACTCAAGTGCCTTTAAAATTTGATGAATCTGTGTCGCGCTCAGTGAGGTTGATAACTCGAGGTGTCACCCTCAGGAAGCCCACTTTTGACAATGAGTACGACAATCGTATGCTAGAGGAAATATCCTGCCCTATTAGTCTCGGATGCACTCCAATCTCCCTAAATTCCATTTCTCTGAGCTCATGTACATTGAGGATGTATAGTTTACTGAGGCTTTTTTCTTCAACATCATTGACGGTTTGAGATCATTCAAAAATATGAAGTTAATAACTCGTTAGAGAAACAGTCAAACTCCGTCACGTTTAGACCAGAAAGTTTACCCTCCGCTTGACGTGGACGCTCACTGAGATTATTTACTGGGCATAATCTTGTGAGCAACAAATCAATCTGTCCCACAAACGGTCCTCAGAAATTACAAGCAACATACAATCATGAGGAATCGCTTTCTAATAATGCTAAGATGCAAAAGGCATTACGGGCGGAATGAGAAACGACTAATGACAACAATATGTATAGCCATTTCAAACAAGCAAGGAACCAACGCACAAAGCAGTGAGGGAAGATAGACTTCAGCACCAGTCAATCAATAAATCTGCCCCCCCATTCTAAAGATGTATGCAACCTCACTCCAAACAGACAAAACCAGAGTCTCCCACTTGTTAGGTCTTAATGATCCAAATAACAACGAGGAAGATGCCACAGAGATTCGCGAACATTTCGACCTTCACAACCCACAATGACATGGACCGCACCCGAAACCTAAGAGGAGTTTCGGAAGTAAACCTAAGCCCTGGATTGACGTATGAGAAACTGCAGCATCGAAGCAAAGACAGAATCGCTTAGTATGTTAGTTTCACACTCGTTAAGATGAGGAGGCTGGCGCACATCATATCAATTTTCAAAGGAGACTAACTTGGTGAATCTACAAGTAACCAACAGGCAGTACTTCGTTCCAAACATTTAGAAGTTGTAAAGTCCTTGAGATGAAGAGGTCTACATGGTCGTTTGTCATCTACAAACATAATTTCATCTTTAAAAAGTCTCATAAATGGCCACTGTTATGTAACTCGCCTGCTGACTGCGCTAGACAGATGGACAGAAATCCTTGATTTTAATCGGAAAGTTGGCGTCATATAATTTGACTTCTCAAAAATTTATGATAGGGTAAGTAATATCTGTCTCATCAATAAGCTCAAACTATTAGATATCAAATCATCTCTAATTGACTTAGTTACTTCGTATTCAAATACTCGACATTTTAAGGTAAGAGCGAACCTCAATTTTTCTGCGACTACGGAATGTCCTATTCGCGACCCTCAGGTTTCAGCATTAAGACCTCTTTATTCTTAATGGATATAAATAAATGAACTTCCTCTACAAGTACTGCTTTGTAGCGGTAAACCAATCCCCAAAATAAATAGCTCTGTAAGTTCTCGACATTGGATGCTGACCAGATTAGTTTTAGTGGACCCACCTAGCTGAAGGCGCTCGATCATGCATCCACACCAGATCACATGTAGGAACGCCGTGCTCAACATCTACTGCGATCCCCAGCCAGACTAGATCAGACAATTTCGATATATTGGCAATCGTCAAATATATCTTCCGATCTCCTCGATTCTGTCTTTTGATTTCTCTTGTTGGGTACGCTTCATATTAGGTGTTACTGGTAAAAGCGTTGTCAAACACTGAATACCTATGCTATCTTCAACTTGGTTTATTGCTTCTCACTGCTGATGTGACACTCTAGACAGAAGTTTGCAATCAAGATGATAAGCGGACATTTCAGAATGGTTTGCCTGGACTTCAACAACGGACTAAACTTTAGCAATTCAGAGTGTAAAGTTATTCATCCGAGTTGTGTTGCAGACTTTGCACACAACTTAGTGTGGTGTTTGTATAAACATTTGACTTTAATTGCATTTTTTCGGGAATTCCAAGTTAATCATCCGAGTGGCCAAAGATGCGCAACAACGTTGCCAGTGCAATTATTGTTCGGATGGCATTTTCATCTCAGTTAGCATAATACATTAGGTCATAGGGTGTTATCACTCTTAGATCATTTTTAACTTCAGTTACTTGTAGAGTGGAGTTGTCTAAGTATGATGATTAGAAGTGTGTAAATTATTGTATTAAGCACGGACATCCCTGGATAGGGCGGGATATTCGACGTTTACTGAGACAAAAGAAGAAATGCCGGGACGTTGCCATCCGCCTTGGCACAACAGGTACGATGGAACGCTACAGATCGATAAGAAACGAGTGTATAACTAAAATTCGGGAAGCGCAAAGAAAATATGAAATGCAGCTGGCAGAATCTGCACTCAAGCAGCCCAAGAGGATATTCTCGTACATAAACTACAGAACAAGGATTCATCATTGGATTCCCAACCTAATTAAAGTAGGAAGTAAATCTGAAATGATAAAGGAAGATCAGGAAAAAGCTGAGGTTATGGCTGACTACTTTGGGGCAGTTTTCACTCAGGAACCTCCTCTAGAGAAAGAACACGACCCAATTAGAGAGTCAACAAACCAGCTGCTCACCGTGGACTTCGACCAAAACGATGTGCTTAAGGCTATTAGCACCCTAAACATGGAGAAGTCAACAGGACCAGATGAACTACACATATTGCCCAATATATCGCAGCCCCACTGACTGTGATATTCACTAAGTTAGATACTACCATGTTCATCACAGTATACACATCCTTAGTGAGAACTAAGCTAGAGAACTGCGCTCATGCTGCAAAACCCTGTTTAAAAGGTGACTCGGACACACTAGAAAAAGTACAGAGGGCAGCTACCTGTGCGATTCCGGAACTCCGGGGTTTATCATGCAAAGAGCGGCTTGAAAGACTGGACCTCTTTACTCTGTCCTATTGCAGACTAAGGGGAGATCTAATATTGATGTACAGAATACTGAGAAATGATTTCGGACCTAACTTATTCTCTCTCTTTCTTCCCACTAGATCGGGACACCTCAGAGGACATAGCAGGCGAGTAGAAAAGCCAAGAACGAACAAAATACCCATGGCATGCAGGTTTTCACACCGCGTCATCAATACTTGGAACCTGCTGCCTGAAGCAGTGGTGTCCGCACCTTCAATTGGCTCTTTCAAGAGAAGACTGGACACTCACAGAAGCATACTAGAAAAGGAATAACATAGGCCGTAGGTCTTCTGTCCTTACTACACAAATCTGAATCTGAAAAATTTGTTTATTAAAATATACAAAGGCTCCTACCTGAAGGCATTAGTGATCCACTGCTACTATGTGCGTGAGCCCATTCAGTGGAAGCTTTTTCAATTCCGTCTAGGACCATTTGGACTATTTGAGCGTTCATAGATATTTAAAACTACTAGTATCAGTTCTGTTTATATGACGCGGGATAATTAAGTCTGAAGGTCGATTTCGTCATAATCACACGAGTGTTCGGTGTTGCTACACCGTTATGGAGCCTACATGTGCATCTACAAACGAAGGGCACCTGTTAAGTACCTATCGTCATTTTTTCGAGCTCCTCGTTCTCGTCTGTATGTCTATATTTGGTGCAAAGTACGTGCTGAAGCTTTTCAAAAAGTATAAAGGAGAGTTTCTTCGTGCTGGGTTCGCTGGTGTCGACATGAACAAACCGTCTAAACCAACAATGTATGTTGTCTTTGAATTCTTTTCAGTTTTCTCTAAGACCTGAAGCCCAGGGTGTAATATGTGGTGTTGTTTTTCTATCCATCATGTTTCTGTTCATTCCTGTTCCCTTTTGGAGATACCTCGTTGGCAAAGCTGATGTGCAATCACTAGAAGTAAAAACATTTTTTTGACTAACCCTACCTGTAACAGGTGTGCCCGACAAACAAAATCAGCGGGGAACAGGAAATTATCTTTAAAAGCCAGGTATGACAAAATTACCATGATAGTCCATATTCACTCATAGTTCATTCAATTTCTTGCTGGTTTATTGTCCATATGCTGCATGCTTTTCTTGGGATTCGCCGACGACGCCCTCAACCTACCTTGGAGACATAAAATTGGTTTTCCATTTGTTGCAGGCTTACCCTTACTGATGGTTTATCTAGCCAATGAGGGGACCACAAGCATAGCTGTCCCAGTTATGCTGAGAAATGCTTTCGGTAGTAGCGTAGATATTGGTACGTTTAGATTCCCTTAGCAAATGAAGTATCAGTATTATAAGTGCTATATTCTTTTGCTTCATAAATTGTTTTGGCGTAAACACATTTAATCCGGTTACTATTAGTTGAATTTCAGTCATGTTTTTTTAATGTCATGCTTAATCCCTGGAAATTCTAGTTTGTCAACTGTATACACTGTGCTTCGAAAACTTTATCCCTAGAAGTGTGTTCGAACTTTTGGTTTAAAAGTTCGTTCTTTTACGGTAAGCTTGGCGAGACTATAATTTATAGACGAACCGGTCAAATTTAAGATAGCAGGTCTTAGATTTTGGCGTAAAATCCATTCACTCATTTGGCCAAATACCATTTCAGCTTAATAGCTGATGTCAGTTTGTGATGAAAACATTGATCTGATTCCTAACCCTAACGTTCAACTGTAAGGCTTAGTAATCTAGTTGTTTAAGCGCCTGGCGCGAGACATAGGTCCTAGGTTCGAATCCCGCAAGGCGGGGTCGTGGATGTGCACTTCTGAGGAGTCCCAAATAGGACGAAACGGCCGTCCAGTGCTTCCAGGTTTTCCATGGTGGTCTTGCCTCCAAATGCCCTAGTACGGTCGAGAGTGAGGAGAGTCCATTCTCCCTCTCCAAATGCTCTCACATGGCCACGCGTATATAGCCTCTACCAGGGAAGTCCTACTCACTACCTTCTCGTTGCGCGGATGTTGTTTACGAAATTGAGAGGACGGAAAGCGAATGTCCGGCACTTTAACCGGGTTGGTGGACATGGAGAGTCCACCTAGGAGAGTTGGAAATCCCTGATTCCGAACCAATGGTGCACATGGGCTTCAGTATCCTGAAAGAACAAATGGCGTATGAACCAATCGTTGGTCACCGGCTACCGTGGGGCTGTATCTCCTTACGATGCTCCAGTGCCTTGTGGATCAGACCTTCAGGTCGAAGGCTCCGGGTGTGGACTCCTAAGAAAACCACCTGTTTCGGTTTGGGCACCCGGGTAGTATCACAGCCCTCACACATATCAAATGAGATTTGTGTGTCGCATATGTATTTGGTGCCTCCTTGTACCAATATCTTTGTGTTAAAATAAATAATAAAAAATGTTCAGCTGTAAATCCTAATTCTAATTCCTCACACTAATACATAACCTTCATTTAACCTCAGTAAGTAAGCGGACATTCTAAGGTCATTTTAGCGTTGCTCAAAGGTCTTTCATAGAAAATAGTCTTAATGTTAGCTTTGGTGTCCATTTTTTGTTCAAGTAAACAACTTAAGGGTTCACACACTAGTGATTGGTTCTGTAAGTTGGTTACTCAATGAGACAACCTTTAGACTGTGGTTGTGTGGTTTACTTGCTATATCCTCTGAACTGTTCTGAACCAGCTAGAAAAAATATCAGGCATAAACTCAATCCTTAGTATTCTACTCGATATGGCTTTTCCATCTTTTAACCTATTTCAAAAGTATAAAAAAATTGTGTCCCTTATTCTTTTATCCCATAATGAACTTAGCATCTTAGGAATCATAAGTGATTAGTTCCCAGAACTCATCTCAGATCTCAGTTGCTCTTCCGATAGGAGCTCACTGCCGTCTAGTTGCCACTAGTTGTTATAAAAGTATCATATTGCTTGATAGAATCTAATTTCAAGATGTCATTGACATTTTCCCTATCCAGCATCGAATATGTTCGAAATTACTAAAGCGGGTCTATTTCTGTATAATTAGATTCACATTTAAATAATTTCTTTATAAGGTTGAAAATTATCCCTTCGTTCCTCATTTACTTTAACTTGTTCAGCCATTCATCAAAGTGTATATGCCCGTCATTTTCACTACTGATCATCGCTAAAATCTAGTATGTTTGATAATTTATTTCAAATTACCTAGGTATTTTATATTACATATATATGGGTTTGCTGACTGTGTTCTGTACTAATTCTATAAACATCTATGCGGGAGTAAATGGTCTTGAAGTTGGTCAGGCAATTGTGATTGGTGCTTCTCTAATTTTATTCAATCTGATCGAACTTTCTAGTAAGTTATTAAAATGTTTTTTAAGACTTTGTATATTCCTTGTAGTTTTTTCAGGAGATATTCAACTAAGAGCAACAGTTATTTAATATTATTTAAAGTTTTCAATCCATAGGTTTGTAGTCTGTGGTCTTGGAACTGGACATTTACCAGTTATTTAGATTTCAGTCTACTTGCTAAGGTAGTCATATATTACCTTTCACGTTAGTTGTACATCAACCTAACCTACAAGTGTTCACTATATCAGCTACGTTATATGTTAACGTATGATTAAATTGATACTTAAAGACTATAATACAATTGTGTATAATAATTAGGAGTAAATTGTCTGAACTACTTTCCATTAAATGATAACTTTTTACTTGCAGAAAAAAATAAATAGGCCATACAAAGGTTTTTTTAATCCCAAGGTCTAAATAAGGGCCTAAGTAAGTCTTTTAACCTCTCAACAAGTCTGTTCGATCAATCCCATGCTTACAACTTACAAATGCTTTCGCTGACAACAGAGGAACTTTTCTAAACGTAAAACATGAGGATGTCTAAACAAATAAATAAAACTGCGTTAATCACATCATTTCTTCACAGTAAGTATAAAATGACAATGCCCAGACCCTTTTACTTTGCTTTCTTATTTGTATCGTTTGTAATCCGTCCATAAATCCATCCAACATTTCAGGTTATCACTGGCGTGTTCATCTTTTTTCACTCTACTTTCTGATCCCATTTTTGTTTGTGTGTTGGTCTCTTTATCGTGTAAACCGGTGAGTTTTCTCAGTTTTATTGCTGTTTATAAAGCATTGTACAGTAATATGTATTTTAGTCCACTTAGTTTCTACTCCCATGAAAGTATGATGGATATCATTCAATTCATTTTAACTAACTAGTCAGCATATAACTTTACATAAAGTGCATCAATACTAGTTGCCGTACTTCCTAACAGTATGCAACGGGAAATCGTTAAAACGAAACTGTATTGAAATAAACAATGAAATATTCGTCCGAAATGGGACATAAATTGTAGATAATAAAATGTTTAAGATTTGCAAATATATCTTTGATATAATTCGTGCAATCTACGCTTATTTCCTCCTTTCGTTCCCCAAATTCGATTGACTTGGTCAGTTACATTTGTTCAATGCACCATCCGGTTGTTTGTGTGACTTAGTGAAGGACTCAGTGTAGTCTAAATATTAATTCACCAATCTATTTAAAAGTTACAGTTTTTTTTCAACTGAACTAAGACCATTCCTAAACCAACAGTGGGTTTAGCGAAAGTTACTTATTCTCTACAGTCCTCTTTACTTTTAACAATGACCTTTTGGAAGTAGCTTTGAAAAACGTGTGGAGCTGATGTACACTTGTTGCCCAGGAAGAGATTTTTGAATAGTGAGTATGTGAATAATATGTTCTCATTTTGCGGCTGCAAAATAGCTACATGAATTAGCCATTTAGTAATCTACCGTCATTCACAGTTGTACATAAATCGCGCAATCTGTATGTTAGGTATTTCTGCAAACTGACAGGTATCTGTGCTTATAACTACTCTATGTCATAATCCGCTGGAAACAGTAGGAAAGTTTGTCTAGGTTGCTATGTAAGTGCTGGAGATTTGAAAAAAGACCAGTCCTCGTAGTATGAAAAGCAAATAAACTCATCGATATAGACCATATTCGGTGTTTTGGCTATATTTAATCCGTATATTGCTAATAAATCCCAATATAACCACTAGATCAGAGCAACTTATCTGCTGCATCTCTGTCATTTCATTTAAATTTATAAAGCAACCATTTTTTCATTCTTTTCATTCTTCAAATAAGTAATTTACATTTAATATATTAAGAATAGTCTAATAATATTTCTCCATCTTTTTCAAAAGATATCCGGCGAAGGTTTTCGTGGGCGATACATTCTGTTATTTTGCAGGCATGACTTTCTCTGTAGTCGGTATTTTGGGTCATTTCAGCAAAACATTGTTACTATTCTTTCTACCGCAAATTGTCAACTTTTTGTATAGCACTCCTCAGCTGTTTGGTTTGATTCCCTGCCCACGCCATCGATTGCCTCGGTACGTATCTTATATTACAAGCGTTTGTAGAAAAGTATAGTTGTTTTCTTACGGTTATTTTAAATACGTCCTTATTTTATTAACACTGTAAGATTTCGTATTATCTAGTCAGGTCATTACAATTCACGTGATATAACTTCTTTGGAACTTGTTATCAGCATCTTGTTTTGAAATCAATTTCATATGTTCTTCATAATTTGATATCCTATCCTCGTAGCTTCTATAATACCGTTTCGATGTCATTTAGTTCTGTCAGCTTAATAGGATTCTTTCTGTTTGTGTAGATGTTTACTTTACTGATCTAGCATTGCAACTTGGACTGTTGCAAATTTAGTCCGTATCATGAGGTTTCAATGACTGACTGACAATAATAAAATCCCCTGGATTATAACTCTGATAGCCTCATAAATTATATCTGTCGCAGCATTTTATTATCTGCTAATGAATGGTTGAAAGAAATTCAAGGTTTATTTTCAATTGTTGTTGTAACACTTCCCACAAATGCCCTGATACGGCCGCGGGTGGGGAGAATTAGCTCTCCCTCTCGAAATGCTCTCACATGGCCACTCACAAGGAAGTCCTACTCACTGCCCTCTCACCACGGGGGTGTTGTGTACGAAATTGAGAGGACGAAAAGCGAGTGTCCGGTGCTTTAACTGAGTTGGTGGATATGAAGGATCCACTTAGGAGAGTTAGAAAACCCCTATTCCAAAACACACATTGTGCACATGGGCTCCATGATCCTGGCGCGCAAACACCTAACCTCTGGGCCAGTGACCCAGCATCTAATGGTGTACGTGTCTAACATCAGTCAACTCATGATATTGCGTAACCATCTTTCAATGAGAAGCCGTAACCAGTGCAGTTAACCACGTCAAGCAGGGAACAGTCACTTACCGATGACATTGGGAGATGACTGCGCACTATTTTTTGTGATTAAATTCTTGTGGATTAGTGATAATATAATGTTCTGTTTAAATATGCATGTATATATATGCCATATCTGACAATTTAGACCAGTTGACATGATTTCTTGGTCGTAGTTCAAACTAAAGTATTATCCACTAAAAAGTATGAGTAACCAATTATAACTGTATCCTTCTTATATTCTTGATAATTTCGCTTCGTTTGATAAGAACAATGTATAACATGAGTTTAAGAACATCCACCCGGCAGCTACAGCCATTGGTGTAAAAGTACACAACAAAGAAACCTATTTTTAGTTACTCTCTTAAGTTTTCCGGTGATATTAGTCGCATTTACATGATATACTATTGATGTGACATCCTATGTTTTGATGTTTATTTCTTCTAGATACGATCCAGCAGATGGTCTATTACATCCCAGTCGTGTTCGTTTTCATCCAAAGTCTTTATCACGTCTTGGTCAATTTGTTTTGACTGTGTTTTCGTACGTGGGCATAATTGAATGCAAACTTTGCCCAGATTGTATTCCGAATATTTCCACATCACCCACGACGGGAATGATCGTTTCACAACAATCTCATGAAAATATGTCTTCTGATGAAGAACAAACATCGGAAAGACGAAGAGCTAGGAGTAGAAGCCCAGTTCAAACCAAGTTACCTACTGAAGAGATTGTTGAAGTAGACAACCTTACTGTCATAAATATGATGCTACGTGTTTTGGGACCCAGAAATGAACAACAAACCACCAATACTCTTTTGCTACTCCAAGTAAGTTTCCCATTAAATTTGTACCTTAAGAGAGCTAAAACGTCATTTTGCCCCAAATTACTGAATAGCCGACAGGTTAGAATTGATATGTTAGATCACCTATTAACATCCACATCAAATTTATTCCATACTATTAGTTCGTTTTCTTCGGTGAGGGCGTTCTTCTGTGGAGCTTTAGTAGCAAGGTTTACACTATAACCTCATTTCAAACTGTTTAATCATTTGTTGGTACGATAGGGTAGTTTATAACTGTATTATTTATTTATTTTAACACATAGATATTGGTACAAGGAGGCACCAAATACATATGCGACACACAAATCTCATTTGATATGTGTGAAGGCTGTGATACTACCCGGGTGCCCAAACCGAAACAGGTGGTTTTCTTAGGAGTCCACACCCGGAGCCTTCGACCTGAAGGTCTGATCCACAAGGCACTGGAGCATCGTAAGGAGATACAGCCCCACGGTAGCCGGTGACCAACGATTGGTTCATACGCCATTTGTTCTTTCAGGATACTGGAGCCCATGTGCACCATTGGTTCGGAATCAGGGATTTCCAACTCTCCTAGGTGGACTCTCCATGTCCACCAACCCGGTTAAAGTGCCGGACATTCGCTTTCCGTCCTCTCAATTTCGTAAACAACATCCGCGCAACGAGAAGGTAGTGAGTAGGACTTCCCTGGTAGAGGCTATATACGCGTGGCCATGTGAGAGCATTTGGAGAGGGAGAATGGACTCTCCTCACTCTCGACCGTACCAGGGCATTCGCTAGTCTGACCATTTCACTTGGTTGACCTGACCCCTTTGGTTCGTTTTTAAGCGTAAATAGTCCCAAGAATAACTCCTGAAAGTTGATTACTTTTCAAAAAACAACAGGTAGATATCGGTTTTTTTATAATATTTCATACTGATAGCTTTCCTGTACAAAACTGTCTACACTGGAATGGGTGCTGATGAACCCTCACAAAAGGTTTCTAGTATTGTCAGTCATTCACGAATAGCAGTTAAACATCTAGTTTGATATCAACATGCTTTCTAATGTTTAGGACAAAGAGCTTTCGAGTAATATGGTCAAAAATTGGTACGCGATCCAGTATCTTCATATCCAAACATTATTACTATTCCTAGATATTCCTTCTCTCTGTTTATAACTTTTAAAACCATGATAATCCCTAAAGAAAGGAGGGTAGAGTAACTTCCGAGTAATAGTGTTCAGCCTTAAAATGGAAATAATTTATTAGAACCCCCACCAAAATTTCATAATTCCTCTAAAGTGTGAATGAGTTTCACGCACTAGAGACTGTCAGGTTTTATTTTTTCTGCATGCTTTACAACTTATGTATAAGCTGGTGTCTTTTTAGTAAACAGTTCTATTCTGTTTCATAAGCTTGCATGGGCATCTGAACTAATGATAGGGAGTGAAGTAGTTGAGCGTGTCGACCGATTCACTTATCTTGAAATTCTCATCAGTCCTTGTGGTCTGGTGTATGACGAAATCTCAGCACGGATACAGAAAGCTCGACTAGCTTTTGCCAACTTGCGTCATTTATAGCATAGGCGAGATATCCGTTTGCTAACCAAAGGACGGGTTTATTTCTCAGCTGTTCGTTCCATCCTGCTTCATGGCTGAGAAACATGGCCAGTAAGAGTAGAGGATATTCGTGGGCTACTAGTATTCGATCATAGGTGTCTTAGTAACATTCCTCGTATATCCTGGGACCACCGGATAAGTAACGCAGTTGTTAGGACACAGGTACTAGGTAAGGATGGCAAATCTGTGGATAAAGTAGTGAAACTTCATCAGTTGAGATGGCTGGGACACGTATTACGTATGCCCGATCACCGACCGCCTCGACGTGCGATGTTCAATGGTATAGGAGTAGATTGGAAGAAAGCTAGGGGTGGCCAGACCAAAACATGGCACAAGTCCATGAAGTCACTGACAAGTGGACTAAGACATGTTGTTAGGTGTAGACTACCTTGTTGGGATCCACGAGACAACACCAACCGATGGTTAGAGACCCTGAATGACATGGCTCAAAATTGTTTGCAGTGGCGCAGGTGCATCCACTCTTTGTGCTCTTCCAAATTCTAATCTCAATTCCCCATGTCATTTTTCCTCTTTCTAAATTTATTTCACTGTATTATACTCCTTGAATAACATCTTTGAACCCTAATATATCTGATTACTGCTTATACTTTTACTACCTCTACCAATATGGGATTTGAATCGACAAATGCATCTGTGTGCTAATGTGGTATGGCAACTCGAACTAATGTACGTGCGTACGAAGTTCTACGTTGTTGTTGATCGTTTCATAAGATTAAGAAACAAGAAATTCTGTTTGTCTGTTATTGATAACATACTAATGTAACTTTTGATTTGAGCTACACTTATTGTATGCGAACAAAACCTTGTTCATGACTCGAAATAAAACTAGTTAAAGATATACTTAATTAACAAAGTTTGTAAGTGGATATCTTTTCGATTTCTTATTGTGTCACACATAAATCTATACAAAATGCACATTTGTTGCACTTTGGATAGAAATGTTTTTTAAAAATTCATAATAATGCACCCATCATTCCATAAATTTCCTTTTGTTACATAACAAATATATGTGATCTTCATAGTTAAAATTGCAAATTGATCTTAGCTAGACTATCTCCAAAAACTGGAAGCATTAGACGACCGTTTCATTCTACTATGGGACTGTTTAGCGTTGTGTATCCACGATCCCTCATTTCTTGTGTTAGCCAGTTATCCACCACAGGCGATGTATGAAGGTTGTGCAATATTGTAAATTGATTGATATTCACCACTGGATACTGGCTTAGTGATGTAAAGGTTAAGGGTTTGCGGTGTCCATCTTGTTGTGCTAATGAAGTATGGCAACTTGGCCCGATGCACATATGTGCCTGATCCTACGTTGTAACTGACTAACTTAACTAGCATTATTATTTAATTGTTTCTGGTTTTCTGTATAAATTATCCAATTTATCTCAGTTCCTTCCAAAATCACTTCAAGGAAAATAATCAATTCATATTCTCTCTTTTTTTTATCAGATACTCTGTTCTTGTTTCGCATTTATGATTCGTTATCCCCTTGCATGGTTGTTTTATGATGTACCAGCTAAGTAATCACATTGAATATTGTGTTCATAACATTGTATGAATTATTTTGTGCAATGTTTTAGTTGTATCTAAACATAATAATAATTATTACTATTACTATTATGATCATTATCATTGTTATTGTCATTAGTAGAGTGAAGCATATATATATTTATTATTTACACGACTGACTATTGTATATCAGTCATTCTGAAATATATATCCTTTCATTTTGTGTACATTTAATTGTTCATGTTGTTTTCATTATGATTATTTTGAAGATGTATTTCGTTATGTAATTCACGTTTTGTAAAATGGCATTTAAACAACAACAACAACAACAATAAAAAACTGGTTCTATTCATATGATCATTATTTTGTTTACATCATCTATTCTATGCATATTTATATAGATATATATGTGTTTGTTTGAATACACTACAACAGCAACAACATACATTCAATCTATTTTCTTTATGTGTTTTTCAAATGTACAAATCAGTTATGAAATATTTTCATCGTTATTATCTATGATGAAAAATGAATATTTGTTCATTACTTTAGTCGTATCCATGGATTTTACTCATAATTTGTATTGTCATTAAAATATAAACTTAATAAACTATATGTTTAGACAAAATTTCATTCTTAATTGTTTGAAAGTTAAATGCATGTTTTACTTCAATAAATCTCTACCAATGTAACTTGATAAGTTTGTCAGTTAGTTTTAGACATCGTACTACTCTTGGTATGAATGTGAACTCGTTTAAACTGTCACATTAGCGTAGAATTTAGAGATCAATTAGGTGAAAAATATGTAACGAAAAAAAAGGAATATCATCTGTACTCAAAAACTAAATCCAAAAAGTATAACTCGGAAGGTATTAGTGAGATCGAAAGATGAAGTGTTTGGGTATCTTTAAGAAAGGATTCCTTAAGCGCTTTGTCTATTATGAAAGAAGTATCCTGTTATAAAAAATACCAATGATTATTGTAGTGAAACGTAGTTGTAGCAGTGAATCAGTGGCTAAGATGTCCATCTTACAGCCATTAAGTCCCAACCCCGTCTCACCTACTTCAGTTTGGGCAACCGGCTAGTTTCATTAGTTCCCATACGTCTAGCCTGGCTCATATGCAAGTGACTGGCTAGTGAGTTAATTAAAACAACTAATGAATGGTAGGAAGTATGTGGTGTTTGAATGAACTAATGATACCTTTATACTTGTTGAATGCTTGATTTCACATTCTAAATACAGTACATTCGTTTATGGTTATCTAGTACTTCTTGATCTGATTACGTTATTTTTGGGATTCTTAGTTCGTACTATAATTCAAATATTTCCGATTATCATAAAGCATCAGTGGATCTAGGAAGTTTGGTTAATTAGTAAATACTCGTAAAACACTTCCTAAATGAATCAAAACATGTTCATTGGTAGATCCAATTTAAATATATACTGACAAAGTACTCTTTGCATTGACTACAGAAATGGGGCGATTTGTGTGTTATGATTAGCTGCAACAGCGCTAACTCTGACAACACACCTAACGAGGATACGGAAGTTTCCTTCTCTTAGCCTCGACCGCTCCAAAACCTATCTGCTGATGAAGATTTTAGTAAAATCGAAGAAAAATTTCATGTTACATTCCGACTAAATCCAATGATTATTAGTTACAGTAATAAACTGATCAGTTGTTGCCTGAACACAAATTTCAGAATTAATGCAATTGAATATTATAATGAATAAAGAATCATAATGAATTGATTGATAAAAAAATTAGTTTTATAATGAGTGAAATTTACACTGAATTCACTAAAAGCCAAATGGATAGAAAACACAATTAGTGCAATAATTTAACGAAAACCATACATAGTCTTCCAACTAGTTACTTCTTACTTTATTGTATTTATGGATTTAAAATCCCCATCCAAATGAGGGGTGACTATTAGTCACACTAGTATAATGAATCGACCATAATAACTCGAATAGCACTCAACAGTGTCGATTTATTTCGTACAACTACCCCCATTTATATATTTGAATATAGAGAGAAGAAATATTGTATCAGAATAGCGCGAGTTCATGATTTCGCCTCAATCATTAAAGTCACTGAATCGTCTGATAATAATTCGATGCAGATTAGGCAGAGAAGTTAAGACAACAAGGTTTTCTGAACAGTCTTTAACGTCCTTCTGCTGTCCTGGTCAGTCTCTCAAAACTATCCACCTATGTGAATTGCCTCCATTGAAAATTCTTCGACGTGTAGTCAAACCGCAAAGTGAAGTCATAAGAGATCTGGTTTCTAAGCTAAGTACAGAAATTTCTTTGGAGGAACTAAATATCATATGTATACTTAAGCTGATCAGTTTCTTTCAAGAAGTCCAGAAAAAAGTATATAGAAACTTTGGGAAGACATTATCGAAAAGCCTTGTTAAAGAACAATTATTTGAAGGTATCCTGGAAGATTTATTTTCAACTTGTTAAGCATTAACTTGAGTCAAATTGAGAATGAGGCACTTTCACTCGGATTTAAATTTCATATTCCGAGAAAATACACTGACGATTGATACAGGAACCCAGTTTGAGAACTTTTATGAACAGTCGTTGGAACTGAAAATAACGACATGTCAAATCGCATAGTTTAAAGTTTTATCTAAAGAGCACCAAACAAACTTGAAAAACTTAATGCGTAATGAAAATATCGTTATTCTCAAACGTGATAAGAGCTCTGGTGGATGAAGAAAACTATGTTAATAAAGCTAAGACGATTCTATATGGTTCTGTTAGTATCCTAGTTGACTGATCGAAAAAGGATACGTCTGAAGCAACAGAGAGGCATATCACAAGCAAGTTTTAGAGACCTTTGAATAAGAATTTAATTAATAATCAAACATATAATGTCCTGAAACTTCGGGTATACAGATTGCCTTATTTGTATGGACAACCAAAATTACACAAACCTGATATTTCCGTTAGATTTATCATATCGATGATCAATTTTCCATCTCACAGACTTGCTTTGCCGAAGCTATTGCAATCAAAAGATTTAGACTGAATTAATGTATCCAAAAAGAAAGTTATAAATCTCGTTTTACTCTGGTGACTTTATTTTCGTGGGATTATTACGTACATTATTTTATTCTCACATTTCAACTCAGTTTATTCTAGATGTTTCCGATATTAAGTATGTGTAATTGTTTCGTTTTAATGATTAATACTATGGTTTTAGGCTGTAAGCACCTGAGGAGAATCCACAAAATAAATGAATTCGTGTGTCGATTTAGTTATGTAGTAACTAGTAAAATGCAACTTATCCGGTTGTATACAATAGTCACATGAATTATGAGAAACTTTCTCTACATAACTTTATAATAAAAAGTTAATCTCGTTTGGTTTTTATGAAACCATGCATCTTGAATATGTTAGTTCGGAAATATGTTTCATGGGTTGCGCTCTATAACTGATTGACTAAAATTGAAATTATCGGACATCAAAATAGGCACCATCTTTCCATCGGCTTTTGTTAACATAAACGGATTTATGTAGCCCACATTTTACTGAAAGGTATTTGAGACTTGTTAAATACAAAATAACTTGAAAAGATCTAAATTATGCCCATGGTTGGGTTAAGAAATGGATTTTACCTCAAGAGTCTATGGAATTAGGAAGAACAAGCTAGTAGTTATTGTGATATGGCCACTAGTCTAAGTGAATGGACATCATATGTACTATTTTGAGATTTAAGGTGGTTGGAGGTAGTTTACGAGAAACCCTGGAACTAGGTTTCGTGCTATTTTGCACTTGACAGCAAGGTCTACCTACAATCTTGAAGGAAGTGATACGTTATAACAGAATCGATAGTGTATTGCGCAGCTTCAAAGTCAGAGACGTTACCACTGAGCTTTCTGGCCTGTGCCGAATTGCACGAAACCTAGATCCAGGATTTCCTGGCGACTACTTACAACTACCACCATGCATGAGTAACTGACACGGTTACCGTGTAACCTCTTTATATGAATAAATTGTAATTATCTACCTTGATTATGGTGGATAGTATCTTGACAAGGCCACAATAATAGTGAGTTCTGCACAAAGTAATCATATCCACAAACACTGATCAGTTTAAACCTGGGAAGCAGCTGTTTTAAGGACAATTAATTGTCAAAACAGAATTGGCTATCACTATTTATATTTTTGTAGCTAGTATTCTGATGTTTGAGCTGGGAGTCAAATTCAAAACATGATGGAATACACATCTTGAAATAACGTATTTTCTTACTTTATATAAATTATATCATAGAGATTTATTTATTTACTGTCTTATTCTTCAAACAGTCAACTGGTAATTCATTATTTGTTACATTTATTAAGTCTCTTTGTTTTCTTGAGTGTATACTTGGTGTAAATAGATAAACGTGAGTCATTTGACTGTAATTATAAGTGAAAATAATAGACTTGAGTTACCTGATAGTTAGTAAAGATTTACTTTGGAAAAATATTCCCATAAGTAAAATGATTGATTTTTTTGTCAATTCTAATCTTTATATATTTGTGACAGTCTTTTGGCTTGGGAAGTGTATTCATAATAGTAAACTAGAACTATCTGTTAACTAATTACAACGTAGTGATATATATCGTGTTTATCGGATCTGTGTTATACTAACTTTAATTTCATTGACAGTCGATAAATTAGTACTGTTCTAGGCATATGACCGAATAGAGTTTGGACTGCATTTGAGTTAAAAATGAACGTCATCGAGTCCTGACTCAGTAATTTGTTGACAACATGAACAATGAATGCCACATCCATTCAGACCACCGCTATCCTCCTTATTAATCTTCTGTCAGGCTATTGCACATCATCAGAGAACGTTTCAAAAGCATGGTACCATCATCGCCAACTCCTATTGGATCACGATATTTATAGCATTAAACAACAGTGAATGTTGGATTTCTTATCATATTACTAATTTCAACGATCTAGTTTTGGTATGCTTGTTCAATAGTTTATCTGGTTCTCATTAAATAAGCCATCTTAACTAGCTTAGGCTCTCAACCTCTTAGTCTTTCTTACTTCATTGTTCGATCCCACGTAAATTATTCTACTTTGCTCTATATATAGACTATATTTTGAAGTAATTATTATGGGACGTAAGAATGAATAGAATGAAATTAACGCCGAATTTCCTTACCAAGATATCCTGAGACAGAACTGTGTATGTTAATATTTTGTAATAAATGTTTCGTGAATGACTTATACGTTTTCAAGTCTGTTTATTTTATGTGAATGTGTGCATGCGCCAGTAATTTTTCGACTTGCAGAGGTGTCATGTTATTAAATTTCAAATAAAATCTGATGATCTTAGTCATATGTGATATACTTTAACCTTTTTTAATAACCATAATAAAACGACCACTTGTGTAAGTTGGTAGTGTACAATTTTCTTAAGCATCATGATACATTTTGGGTACGATATTTCTAGTAGTAATTACTGGAAAATACGAAATATGTTAGATAGTCATTTGGTGCACAAGTTTGAAACTGATATGAACATTAGTTTACCAAGGTCGGATAAGATTTAAAAGCATGAATTAATAAGAAACAAGGTAGTTCTTATTATCTTATGCTTTATTTAGCTGCATGAATATAATAAGACGATAATCAGGGTTCGACTGCAAAGAATTGTTATTAAGTAAGATCTCAACACTTTAAAAACATTTTAAGCAACCTAAGATCACGGTAGAACAATGATTAGTCCAACAGAATATAGTATTCCATAATATTACTTATACTGAATAATGACGCTAATCAATGTTTAAAGTCAAAAACTTAACCCATATCAATATGATAGTTTAATTTGTATTTTCAGTTTTTTGCATTTACAGGATCAAATTTTTGTTTTAAATATTGATTAAAATGTGCTATATGGGGTACTAAGAAAAAATGGCATAACTGAGTTCACTAACTCGATATTTGATAAATGGATCAAAATATTAAAGATCATCTATTTATTTTTAGCAAACTGACTGATTATATGAAACAATATAATTGTTCGTAAAGCGAATATTACCTACTATGAGTATAGAAGGCGTCAACAAACCAAAAAAACTCAATGATTTTTAACTTCTACGATTACAAATATTTTTATACCTGAATTTATATTCAATTCTGTTTCTGTAAACTATAAGGATCTTCTTGTAATGAATTACAAAAGATGTTGTAACTTAACGTTTTGTTTGAGGAAAACAATATTATTAGAACATCATTTATTTTTGAATATAAGAAAAATAGCTGTAATACAATGCTGAAAATTTTGTAACTTAGTATTACAACTGAACTCGTTTAAATAGTTACTCAATTATGTAAAATAATTCAATCAATAAATCACTTTCATTAATTATGTTGACTAGTTTCTGTTTCAGATTGTATGGTTTCCGTAACCGTAGACTCTGTTGCTGTTATTAATACAGATGTGGTCGTTGGCTGTGATAACATAGTTATATTTTCTGTTGACTCTGATACCAGAGTTGTAGTTGGTTCTGTTGACATATTGGATTGGGATGTCGTTGACTTTATGGCCTCAGATGTCCCCACTGATTGAAGCTCCATAGATGTTGTTGATGGGGATGGTTCATTTGTTGACATTGGTAATGAACTCTGAATCTTCGTGGTTGGTGACGTAGATGTCTCTGTTAGTGAAGATCCTGAAGGCATCGTTGACTCAGTTGTTGCCATTGATTGGAATGACACTGGTGTTGTTAACCCAGGTGAGAACCCCACTTCTGGCGACTCGGATGTGGATATCGTTATTTCTTCAGATCCGTTAAGTGGCGTTGATTCTGTTTCAACATTTACTGTCGAATTGGATACTGTTGTCATCAAAGACTCTGATTCGTTATTTGTTTGCATCATTACCGCAGTCGATTCCTGTGAGTTTGTTTCAGGTGTTGTAGAAGTTGTCACTTCTTCAGAAGAATTATTTAACGACATATTATGTGAAGTGTTTGGTGCATATGTTGTTCCACTTGACATCTCGACGTCTTCACTAGTTTCTTCTGGAGATGTGTTTTCACTGACTTTAGCAGTAGTGGTAGTGATTTCAGCAGTAATGGTAGCAGTAGGATTAGTTGTTGTGCTTGTAGTAATATTAGCAGTAATAGTAATATTATCATTATTAGTTGTTGTTGTGGTAGCAGTAGTAATAGTAGAGGTAGCAGGGGTGGTGGTAGTAGTATTAGCGGTGATGGCATTAGTAGGAGAAGCAGTAGTACTGGTAGAATAATTACCAGGAATATTAGTAGTAGTGGTAGGGTTAGTGGTAGAAGTAGCAGTGATGTTTGCAGAAGCATTGCCAGGAATAGTAGTAGTAGTAGTGGTTGTGGTAGGAGTAGTGGAAGTGGCAGCAGTAGTATTAGCGGAAGTAGTAGAAGTAGTAACAGCAGAAGTAACAGGGGTGATAGTAGTAGTAGTAGTAATAGTATTGATAGGAGTCGTAGTAACAGCAGGATTAGTGGTAGAAGTAGCAGCAGTGTTTGTAGGAGCATTGCTAGGAATAGTAGTATTAGTAGTAGAAGTAGTAGTAGTTGTGGAAGTAGTAGCAGTAGTACCAGAGGGAGTAGTATTAATAGTAAGGGTAGTAGGGGTGGTAGTAATAGTAGTGGTAGTGGTATTAGTAGAAGCAGTAGTATTGGTAGAATCATTACCAGGAATAGTAATAGTGGTAGTAGTAGTAGAGGTCGGAGTAGCAGTAGTGGAAGTAGTAGTAGCAGTAGTAATAGTAGTGGTAGAAGGGGTGGTAATAGTAGTGGTGGGAGTAGTAGCAGTTATGGTAGTACTAATAGTTGTGGGAGTGGCAGTAGTAGTAGTAGTAGTAGTAGTAGTAGTAGTAGTAGTAGTAGTAGTTTCTGCTGATGGTGGTTGTGTTGTGTGTAACTTTCCAATGTCGCTCAATATCGATTGTAGATCTGTTATCGGAAATCCACTTGAACTGAAAGGGTTTGAATCAGTTTGACCACTGTTATCACCATCATTGTCGTCATCATCATCATCGTCATCATCATCATCATCATCATCATCACTATTACTACCCAATACCTGAGCTTTAGGAAGAGAAGGAACACTGAAAGTTTGATTAGTTTCAGAGGCGTGTTCTTTAAATTGTACACGCTGCTCATTAAGTTGGATCGTTGACTCAGAAACGGTCTTTCCATTTTGATTAAAATTATTATCCTCAGTTACTATAGAACGTAAACTAGATGGGGTTGTGGTATCCATCTGTGAAGTATTCTGAATCTCAGATGACACGTTAAAATTTATCCCAAGAGTAGAATTCTCTGTATTATTTGGTGTTATGGTTATGCTTGCTGGGGTAGATTTAGTGGACTCCAGTAAAGGTGAAATCGTCTGACTGTCCTCTGAATGATTAGTATTTACTGAAGTGTTAATAACTGTAGTAGAATTTTCGAGTACCGTTTCACGACGTTTTGAAATAGCATGATTGTGATTAGCAGAAATTTGTGTACTATTTATTTCTTGTGGTGTCTTAACTACTATTGATGAATTACTAGTGGTAGTTTGAATTAAAACATTTCGACTAGTAATCAAGCATGCATAAGGCAAACGATGTTCGCAATCACGAGCTTGCCATGTAAGTCGTGCAATATCTAATGACAGACAATAAGTCATACCCTCTACAAGATTATTTGCATCATCATCAGTTATACCCAATATTTTTGCAGGGGCAGTTCGACCATCCGACCAGTTTAACATCACTTTCCACTTAGTAGCATTTTCACCATCCACTCCAGTATGTCTTGGTCTCATTAATTTACCCCCTGTCCAATATGATCCAACTGGTACTGCACCCATGAGGCTTACTAAGTGTATAATCTGAAAATTACGGAAAAAAGAAACTTGATTTGTATTGATTACATGATTATTATAAAACACATAATTCAGTATGGAGCCTTAGTGAATACCTAATTGAAAAGTAACAATTCTTCGCTCTGATGACTTTTTCCTTAGGAAAATAGTTTTACGATTAAATAGTTTATATTTTAAATCGATAAATATGAATTAGAAAGAATCACTAACAGTAATGATAGCCGATAAAGCTCTTGTTTATCATCCAAATTAATGAGTTCAAAAATAAGTGTAATGAAAATAATAATATCTGATGTACATGATTTACACCTGAAGTACAGTCAGTAAATTTTAATGATAATAATAAAACTCAAGGATGTTTCCAGGGCGTTCGCTTAACTAGGATAAGAAACTATGACTGATCAATGTCACTGGATAAAACCTCCACTTTTAGAAGATCGAGGGCAAGTTAATGACGAAAAGATTTCTTTGGTATTGATTTTTTGTAACTCATAAATTAAGAAAATAGCCTTTACTGTTTAATGAGTACGACGATTATAGTAAGGGGATCTGTGTGAGATGAAGTAAGTACTCCCTACCCTCATTTTAATGTTACAATGTAGTTATTCTCAAATAAAAAGATCAATAGTTTTCTATTGCTATAATAACTAGTATAATTTACAATTATTTTCTTTTAAATCAGTCTTGATGAAAGAAATTTATTCAAGAGAAGATGAAACGGTGAAAATCACCTTCCTTATACTTGGCAAAGTAGAACAAAGTGAACGAAGAAATTTGTTTTCAATTAAATGATATCTTTAGTGATTTTCAGTTTAGGAATTGTAAAACTGACATCTATGAGGTTCTGTACTGATCTTCAGAGAATTTTCATCCATTCTCACAGTGAAGGATATTCAGTTACTTGAAATAAAACAGCCCTTAAAGTATATGCCTCATGTCCCTTTACGGTTACTGTCTCTTTTTCTTTCCACACAAATCATGGGTTCCTAAATTTACTTCAGGTAAAACATTAGATCTAGTTTCTTACTGGATTAGTACCAGGATATTAGATAATAAAACCCAGTATATTGTAATCGTACTAAATATTTAAATGAAAGGAATACAATATAGTATATTTACATATTTACTTTAATTTGACTGGTCACCATATGCATTCGGTTGTGTAATATTTTTTTTATTTTATCACGTTTACAGAACACGCTTGATCGCGTAAATGTCCATGTGACTACTAAATTGTAGGCACACATGCTCATAACAATCCGCATAACAAAGAAAAATTGTCAGTAAAATTTATTAATAATCAAGGTTTAGTAAAACCCAAACACTTATTTTCCTTAGTGTTATTTTGTCACTCAATTTATACACATTATCAGTATTGGGGATTTGTGGAGATTGTTGTATTTTAACAGTTAAATTCACAAGTTGATCTAAGCTAGACCACCATTGAAAACCTGGAAGCACTGGACGACCGTTTCGTCCACACACGGGACTCGAACTCAGGATTTCTGGTCTTGTTTAACCTCTAGACCACTGAACTGGCATCCATCGATGTTTATTTTATTATGTACATGTGCAACTTGAACAAAATAGGAAGTGATAAGTTATAAGAAAAATCTAAATGAAATAATCGTTCATTTAAATAACTTCATTATAATAATCTATTCTAAATATAAATTTAATGATTTCGACAATTCACAATTATATAAACAATTTATTCATTATTTAATACATTGTAAACTCATCAAATTACATTTAGACATTTAACCACTTTATTTATTCTTTTTTGGTATTTTTGTACTGAGGGGTTAAATATTGTCTAGTCAGTGCATATAAAGAAAATTATTGAAACGTGAATATTGTGACGTATAACAACATGAATGAATGAAAAAGTGCATGAATATTAACATTGAATTGAATATTTATTACATCATATAATATTATTATACACTTTAATTGTACAATATTCAATATTTCCTCCTTATTACTTTAGAAAAGAATCCTAAATAAGTTATAATACCTAAAAAAATTAATGAGTGCATATTATTATGCTAGATGTCAGTCAGGCCAGTCAGTAACAACGTAGAACTTCGTACTCACGTACATCAGTTCGAGTTGCCATACCATATTAGCACACAGATGCATTTGTCGATTCAAATCCCATATTGGTAGAGGTAGTAAAAGTATAAGTAGTAATCGGAAGGACTAGGGTTTGAAGATTTTACTCAAGGAGTATAATCCAGTGAAATAGATTTGAAAAGTGAAAAAAGGGATATGAAGAATTCAGAATATTAGAATTTGGGAGAACACAAAGAGTGGATGCACATGCGCCATTGCAAACGCTTTTGAGCCATGTCATTCAAGGTCTCTAACCATCGATTGCTATCGTCTCGCGGATCCCAACTAGGTAGTCTAAACCTACCAACATGACTCAGTCCACGTGTCAGTGACTTCATGGATTTGTGCCATGTTTTGGCCTGGACGCCCCTACCTTTCTTCCAACCTACTCCTATACCATGAAACATCGCACGTCAAGGCAGTCAGTAGTTGGGCAAAAAAACACGTGTCCCAGCCATCTCAACTGATGAAGTTTCGCCACTTCATCAATCGGTTTGCCATCTTTACCTAGTACTTGTATCCTAACAACTGCGTTACTTACTCGATGGTTAGATGAAATGTAACAGTTTTATCAAATTTGTAATGAAAGTATTATCATTGATAGTTTGATCTATTAACTAATATATAATGATGATCAATTCAAAAAGATCAAAAATGAATAACCCTTCTAATATTAATCAACATATACTCACTAGTAACTGGTTTCAAGGGGTATTTCATGGAGTTCTAGTGAGAAGCAGTGACTAGTGGAGTTCAGCCAGGTCTGTTGTGAGATAGTAACTGACGGAAAACAATGGTGGATGGTAACGCGATTTTGTGGATGGGTTGAAGTTAGACGATAACACCGTTGGATGCTGGCTCAGTGGTCTAGTGGTTGAGTGCTCGTGCACGAAACCGGTAGGTCTTAGGTTCGAATCTCGCGAGGCGGGATCATGGATGCGCACTGCCACTGAGGAGTCCCGTGGTAGGATGGAGCGGCCGTCCAGTGCTTCCCGGTTTTTCAGGGTGGTCTAGCTTCAATTAACTCATGATTTCAACTATTAAAATTACTATAATATCCACAAAAATCCCTTCTGACATTAATACACATTCTGTTTGTCAACTTCATAGGTAAACGGAATATATCCATTGGAACATGAAATAAAAGAGACTGATTCAGAGTTCTTTCTTTCTTCTGACAAATTCACTTTTAAAATTAATATATCTAATCTAGTTTTTAAAGTTTATTAAAAAGTTGAAAAGAATATCATAATAATATCTACATCAAATAATGAGTTTGAAATAGTTTTTGTGTAGGTTTTCAATCAGCTTAATAAATATCTTAGTCATCACATGAGAAAGTTTAAAATAATATTGTTAGAACAGTTAAACACTAATTTTAACAAATCAAGTACGATAACGATATAACTTTTGATTGAGATCATGAACCGATTGATGTTAGACCACCATTGAAAAGCTGGATGTACTGGACGGCCGTTTCCTTCTATTGTGGTCGCGCAATTCTGTGGATTGGTTGAGGTTAGACGTTAACATCATTGGATGCCGGCTCAGTGGTTCAGTAGGTTATGCGTTCGCGCGCGAGACTGAAGGCCCTGGGTTCGAATCCCGCGGGCGGGATCGTGAATGCGCACTGTTGAGGAGTCCCACAATAGGACGAAACGATCGTCCAGTGCTTCCAGGTTTTCAATGGTGGTCTAACATCAATCGGTTCATGATCTCAATCAAAAACTTAACAATCTCCACGACCACTATATTGATAATGATGTAATTGTTGAACATGTTCACCCAAAAATATGATTTTCTCAAATTCATTAATATTTTATTTCATCATTGAGAAGAAGTTCCATGAAATGGAATTTTCTTTTATCTTAACAACACAAATTTATTTACATCCTATCAACATGCATATATACTTGTGTAATTAGCTAGTTCACTTCCAATATATTTTCTCAGATGCATCTACATTATATCCAGGTTTAAAAGAAATGCTATTAATGATTCAAATTATTCAGTATATATATTCTAGTGGAAGGAGTCCAGGTAGAGCATACATAATTATTGTCATATTTTTCACCTTTAGTAAAACTATAATATTTTCTATTACTAGAGTATATTTGATATCCTTTCACAGATAAAAATGTAATAAAGAGAAAAACTACTCTTTATAATTTGAATGAGGTAGTTAAATAATTCTTTAATAAACCGGTTAAAAAGCAAATGTTTTGGCTATTTTAACAATTTTCTATTCTTTTATCTCTAGATGGGTCGTAAGTACAAATTGACTAAAAGTTTAGAAAAAAACACTTCTTTAATCATTCATAGTTTATTTCGATAGTGATTAATGTAGAATCAGTTTGTGATGTAAATTATCCTAAAAGTGAACATTACAAATAATACATTAAGGATGATATTATCAATTTCAGTAGTTGAGATCATGAGTCAATTGAAGGTAGACCACCATGGAAGACCTGGAAGCACTGGATGGCTGTTTCGTCCTGGTATGGGACTCCTCGACGGTGCGCATCCACGATCCCGCTCGCGGGGCCCGAACACAGAACCTTCGGACTCGCACGCGATCGCTCAACCTCTAGACCACTGGGCTGGTATCCAACGGTTCCAATGTCTAACCTCAAATAATCCACGAGATTGCGCTACCGTCCACCATTGTCATCAGTGAGTTACTATCTCACAACAGGCCCGGTTGATCTCTACTGGTCACTAATGAGCACATGAGGATTATTATCAAAAAGGGGTTTTATGGAGATTGTAGTTATTTCAATAGTTGAATTCATGAGTCAATTAAAGCTAGACCACCGTGGAAAACCAGGAAGCACAGATTAAAAATATATTTTTTTAAATAAATCAGACACGTGTTAGATTTTCGATACAAATTGTTATTTGATCAATAGCTTTTTTCTTAGTGTGCATCCTCCAGAAGCAATTTATTCGATACATTTTTTTAACATCACCCCGTATTACCACAGTTACTGATTTGAGCGTAGTTATCAAAAATCTAACGTTGTAAAACAGTATGATGTAGGTATCGTAAATTTTTCAGTTGAGTGAAGACGAAAATCCATTGTGCTACATATTCATAAATCACCCAAATTACGTCTACATCAAAAACTGGGTTTCGACGGTTTTATTGATTATCGTACGATGAATTGACAAAACTGATAACAGAACCAGAGTGTTTTGTGGGATGTGTTTTTTCTCATTTTGGAAGTTAGAACTGAATAAATTCATTTTGTATTGTTTATTTGTAACTTCCCATTGAATATCCCAGTGAATATCAACTGTGGGATGCAGGTACATCCATCCGACGAGTCCCAAATAGGACGAAACGCGCGTCCTAGATTCCACTACTAGCTACCATCCATCTTTGTTTAGAATCTAATAGTTGATGGGTTAAAACTTCAATCAGTTTGTAACAATATGAAATTATTATCACTGTTACTGATAGCAGTTTTTAATCAGCAAACCAAACGTCACATTTTTACATTTACTTATTAACGAAGGGTAGCAAATTAGTCACGAAAATAATTTCAACTAATTGATTTTGTCATCGCACAACAATACTGATGAGTTCCGAATTAGGATGAGTTTTTAACAAGACAACCAATAAGAATGCCTAATAAAACAATGCTTAATCAAATGAAATGTGTCACAACTCATAAAAACAGAACAACTAGTTACATTATATGACTAACAGTTATTAAGATTGTATGTTAGATATATTTACGATAAGCGGTAATATTAAGCAGTACTGATTGTGAAAAAAGAAAATATATGTATATATATGTATTTCATTATAGACTCTCATTAAAAAACTTTGGTCTACACTGATGAAATGCAGTGTTTACGAAATGAATATGTAATACAGCCACGAGATTGTTTGATTTTTAGTTCGATTCTAAAATGGGTTGTTATATCGAGACGTTGTTGATTTCATACTCTTTCTTTCTAAATAATTTTCAAACTTAATTTGATGTGTGATCAAAATAATAGAGTTCCCTAAAACCTTATTGTGTAAAATACAGATGTCAACCAATCAAATTTACAATGAAAGTCGGACGTGACTAAGAATACCGACAAAAACAGGACATACTTGCAATAAGGGCTACAACTTATCTTAAACGTTTTAGCGAGTGAAACAGTCTTTTTTTGAACTAACTATAACCAGGTGACCACCGAAATCTAATGAGCAGTAAACAGTTGATTGGCATAATGCTTGACATAGTAAAGTGAATCCACTTACCAGATGTTAGTCTAATTGAATTTGGTTCATAGTATACATCATCTTCAAATTAAAAAAGTTTTTAATCACCACTGATATTAAAAACAATGATATCCTTTTCTTCATGGTATCCTACATTATCAGTCTACATATATTAAACCTTGAGCCTCCTAGATCCTTACTGGTGTAATATCATAGGTTATCACTTATGAAGAGTTCTGAACTTCCTGATTTTTAGTGTTTTTCCACCTAGTGTTAGCTTATAACGGAAATCATATCTAGTTAAGTTTTTGCGTAAATACTTCCCAGCTGTATGGATCTAAAAATTTGTGTCTCAACTACACTAAACTTCTATTTCTTTATCATTTTTAGAAAAGTGTTATCTTTTTCATGTTCAACAATTGTGCTTTATAAATATCACACCAAGCAGATTCTTAATACGAAACAATATAATAAACAGATATGTAATTTAATTCATTTTGAAGAGAATTTTCGGTGAGACTATAATTTATGGACAACCTTTGAGCGACATTAGACTGACCATGGGAGTGTCTACCTGATAACTAGTACCAAATGAGGGTTATAAATTAGTGTGAGGAATTCGAATTATGATTTACAGTTGATGGTTAAGGTTAGGAAAGAGATTTAGGGTTCTCATCACGAACTGACATCAGCTATAATTCTAAAACTCTATTTACCCAAATGGATTGAGTGAATTTCGCGCCAAAATCCGAGACCTGTTATCTTATACCTGATTGGTTCGTCCATAAATTATAGTCTTGCCGAATTTCCCTTTGTAATATTTCCTTTCTAACTGCTTGAAAAATGAACAAAGAAACTTGCATATTCAACAGTTGTTTATCGCTTTTCAAGCTAATTTGAAATAAAGCACAGTAATCAATGAAAACTTCATGGATTATAAGTTATCATACGCCCATATGACATGTATTTAAAAAAATAGTCAACACTTACCTCATCATTTGATGTAACTGATAATAAATGACCTTGATATAAATCAGTTGGTTTAACATTTCCATTACTTGTCCGATTGGTTAATGGTGAAGTAATTCTACGATTAGTTATAAATCTATGACAAGCCAATTCAGCTTTTGCTGCAGTTAATCCCCATACTCTACTACCTTGTTCACGTGTTGTAGCTAAAATAACTCTTCCTTTTATAGAGTGTCGTCGAGATGAATTAGTTGAAGGATTAGTAGTATTAGTTAAGTTATTAGCATGTTTTTCTATTGGTGGTGATAAAGTTGTTCTGGGATATCCGATAGTTGTTCCATTTATGTCATTGTTTTTAGTTGTTGGCAAAGCTGTACTTTGCATGAACTCAGTAGTATTTATTGTCCCATTCGATAAATTACTCTCTTCTCTTACATTTAAGGATGAATTATTGAAATGTAGTGAGGAAATGTTTATAGAATTCAGCAAATTTGTTGATGAGTTAGTTATGTTACTGCTCAAAGAACCAATAGTTGTTACTGTCAGTGATGTTTCAGTGGTTTCTCCATTTGTTGTTGTAATTACATCATGAGTTGTAGTTGGTTTAGAAGTTGTAGTTGTTATAGGCTCAGTAGTAGTAACAGTTCTAGTAGTACCTGTGGTAGTTGTAGTAGTTGTTGTTGTTGCACTACCGGTAAAATTTATCTTATTATTTGGCATACATATTAGAAAATCTACAAAACATATTAGTAATACTAAGCGAACAAATGACAATCTAATAATCATGGTATTCAACAAGAATAATTTAGCCTTTTATGAGGTTATCACATTTATATGTTAACTTGAATCAAATTTATTTAAGCTTATCAGACATTGATAAACCAATAAAAATGTCAAAAACAATGCACTTAGACAAAGTTTTATATTCAATATTATTATTATATTGAATTTTCAGAGAAAAAATAAAATGATAAGTTATTAAGTAATTGTGAAAAGATTAAACTTATGACCTGAATGTTTGATAAAGTTAACTATTAGGTAAAATTAATTATAAAGTATGACTAATCAAACTCCGCCTGTAGCTCTCCTAAAGTTACTACCGGTCCCAAGCTCACACAAAAGATGAGAGTTGGGTATGGGGGAGGGGCATCCCCATCCCGTAGAAAAAAATCTTGCCAAAAACACGCCAACTAGATTAAACAAATTAAACCATTTAAACTCTACCATGGGAATTGAAGGAAAAATTATGACGCCTCAGAATGAAAGCCTAAATTTTTCGGAAGTCACAAGGCCGATGCCCCTTCTAACAACCAGAGCAACAATTTTTATAGATACATGGAATCCTAAAGGGAAGCGAAAAAGAGGGAGGCCAAAGAACACATTACGTCGGGAAATAGAATCGCTCCACTTTAGGATTTCAAGTCAGGGCTTGCCTCGTGATGTAGTTTCATGACTTCCAAAATGTATATCCTATAAACCTCCATCGTCTTTTCCTAATTTCCTTTTCAGCTGGAAGCTGGTTCGTTTTCTCCTACAGAAGGCTGTTGCTGGTGGTATCCGGTCAGTGGAGGTTGAGTACCTTGTGTAAACAACTATTTATATATACTTGTACCTTCTTGATGGTGGTTGTTGTAGTTCTCCAAGTTTCAGCTCCGTACAGTAGAACTGCCTTGACGGTCGTATTGAAGATTCTCACTTTGATATTGGTTGAAAGTTGTTTTGAGTTCCATATGTTGTTCAACTGTAGGAATGCGTCCCTTGCTTTGTCAATCTTCGCCTTTACGTCTGCATCTGAACATCCTTGTTCATCGATGATACTTCCCAGGTATGTGAAGGATTCCACCTCTTCCAGAGCTTCTCCTTCACGTGTGATTGAGTTGGTGTTCTGCTTGTCATATATGGGGATCTTGCTTTTTCCTTTATGTATGTTGAGGCCCACTGATGCATAGGCTTCTGCTACGCTGGCTGTCTTCATCTGCATTTGTTTGTGTGTATGGGATAGGAGGTCTAGGCCATCTGCGAAGTTCAAATCTTTTAATTCCTTCTGAGCTGTCCATTTTATTCCGTGCTTTTCTTCATATGTCGAGATCTTCATAATCCAGTCGACCACCAAAAGAAAGAGGAAGGGAGAGAGTAAGCAGCTCTGTCTAACTCCGGTCTTCGCTTGGAATGCATCTGTCAGCTGTCCTCCATGCACGACTTTGCACTGTAGTCCGTCGTATGAGTTACGGATAATATTGACAATCTTCTTAGGAACTCCGTAGTGTCGAAGAAGTTACCATAATGCTGCCTAGTGTTTCTTTAGTTTCAGTTTGATCTTAGCGACAACCAGGTGGTGGTCTGAATTTACGTCAGCTCCTATTTTGATTGTCACGTCTTCCATTGTCCTTCTGAATTTTTTATTGATGCAGATATGATCTATCTGGTTCTCTGTGGTCTGATCCGGTTAGACCCATGTAGCTCTGTGTATGCGTTTGTGTGGGAATATTGTGCCGCTTATAACCAATTTGTTGAACGCACATAGATTTGCAAATCTCCCCATTTTCGTTTCTCTCTCCCAGTCCATGTCGTCCCATAATATCTTCATATCCAGTGTTGTCTATTCCGACTTTGGCATTTAGATCTCCCATCAGAATAGTTAGTTCCTTTCTTGGGCATTTCTCAATGATTGACTGCAGCCGCTCGTAGAATTGATCTTTGATGTCGTCGTTGCTATCATTGGTGGGTGCATAAAGTTGGATAATATTCATTAAGATCCCCTCCTTCTTTGTTTGGAATGATGCTTTGATGATTCTGGATCCGTGAGATTCCCATCCTACAAGTGCATATCGTGCTACTTTGGACAGCATTAGAACGACTCCCTGAGGGTGTGGAGCAATTTCCTCTTCGTCATGGGAGTATAGTAGCATCTATCACGTATTTAGCCTTTGTTGTCCAGCTTGGGTCCAGTGGGTTCCGCTGATTCCCAGTACTGCCAAATTGTATCTCCTCATTTCCGTTGCTATTTGACTGGTCTTCCCGGTCTCCCACATTGTTCGGACGTTCCATGTACCTATAAAAATTGTTGCTCTGGTTGTTAGAAGGGGCATCGACCTTGTGACTTCCGAAAAATTTAGGCTTTCATCCTGAGGCGTCATAATTCTTTCTTCAACTCCCAGGGCAGAGTTTAAATGGCTTGAATTATTTTTTCTGGTTAGCGTTTTTTTAGCGAGTTAGTTATCTACGGGATGGGGTCGCTAACCCCATACCCAACTCCGCTACCTTACTCGGGCTACGGATTTGCAGTAACTTTAGGAGAGCTACAGGCGGAGTTTCGGTAAATAGAAGCAGATATAAAAAGGATAAGTAACAACTGGAATGAACTGGAAAGGAATGCCCAGGACAAGATTGAATGGAGAGTGATGGTGGGCGGCCTATGCTCTTCCAAAAGGGAAAACAGGCGTAAGTAACAAGTACGACTAATCAATAAAAAGTTTTAATAAATAAAAGTAGTCTGCATTTCACTGATTGATAAGTGAAATTTGTCCAAATGAGTAAAAAATATAATCATTTGTATTGTTTGTGTTTATAGCTCGTTTTTTCGATGTAACGAATGAAAAGTCTATTATTGGTATATTTATTTAACATTTTTTAGGTTCAGAAAAGTGAATTTTTATTGTTTGAAGTTGGACTTTCTCTGTGACAAAGTTTGCTTAATTTATGTCATGTACTAGTTGGCACCTATTAACAAAGGGCACCTTAAATCTTCAGAGAACAGAGGTTCACTGTTAAAACTGGATCTGTGTCACCGATCTTCATAGTTTGAAAAGTTACCCTTGTGTTATTCAGAGACCAAATAATCTCCTATGGGGCTGGTATATTTACATTAGTTAATCACTAAATGTTATGTACTGGAGAAACATTTCATGATAATTTTCATAAGGAATTTATAACTTTAGGTATTATTCATTATGAACTAACAACAATAAAAGTACCTTTAAAAAACCAGAGAGCACCAGGCTGCTGTATTATGATAGAATAGGATTCTTGAATAGAGAGCATTCACAACTTTGTCAGGGATCGAACCTAGGACCTAAATGTTTTGACCTATAAGCCACTGAATCGGTATCCAATGGCCCCAATTTACAACTTTTATTAGGATGTATGCTATATTCATAGTCCCTCTGTGTATTATAAGACCAAAAAATATTGATTTTTTTCTGTCAATTAAGAATCGATTTATTAGTTTAGTTATTGATAATGATAAAATTGTAATCTACATTTTTTTATACGTCAACTTTTATTTTCAGTAATCCAATTTATCATAGATACATATTTCTGTTTAAAACTAAAAAGAAATTTTCACATTTATAAACCTCATTACATTACTTTTACATTTATATCGTTCATGCTTAAGTTCATTAAATACATATCAAATAGAAATTTATGCCAATTAAAGATCAACTGAAAGTTAAACAAACAATTTAATTGTATAATTTCGAATAAATTGAGCATTGGGTTGATTGTTATAAATAAAAATAATATATTTGTAATATCCCAATGAGTAGAAAATTGGATTTTCTGACGTTTCGTGGCTTAGTGTAAGTCACTTCTCTGAAGAAGTGACTTACACTAAGCCACGAAACGTCAGAAAATCCAATTTTCTACTCATTGGGATATTACAAATATATTATTTTTATTTATAATTTAATTGTAATTGATATATGATTGTTCTATTAGTAAAATACTTCTATAAATAGTTATAAATATTTGGCAAATATTAAACATATCTATTATCTTCCATATTTTCTGGTTATTAAAATAAAAGAACAGAATTCAGGATAAGGAATATTCTTCAAACAATTATATCTTACAAATAAATTGAGTATTGGGTAGAAAGTCAGTTACAACGTAGGACTAGGTACATATATGAATTAGTCCAAGTTGCCATATCTTTTTTGCACAGCAAGACAAACACCAGATTCGTAAGAGCAGTTAACTCAATGGTGTAATATATAAACGAGAGATTGTGCATCAGAAGAGAGAGAATTGGTGCTTAGAAAGGTATAAAGTATTTCAATCTAATGGTTTAAGGGAAGACAGAGAGTGGATACACCGACGCCGTTGTGATCGATTCTGAGTCATAGCACCCAGAGTCTCCGACCATTGGTTACGATAGTTACGCGGACCCTAACCAAGTAGTCTGCATCTAACAAGATGGCTAAGACTGGAAGTTAGTGACTTCAAGCACTGATGGCACGTTTCTACCCAAGTTAAGCAACGTTGGGTAGAAAGCCAATAAGAAACATATTTTTACTTTACATCCCAATGAGTAGAAACACTATTTCTGATGTTTCGAGACTTAATGTAAGTCACTTCTTCAGAGTAAATAAATAACCGAATTAAATCAACACGAGTTTAAATAGTACAAAGAAACCAATGATTGTTTCCTATGTACTGGGTTCGATCGCCTGTGGGGTTTCAGGTGCGTGCCGTTAGGGGGTTTCGTACCGAAACGAAACAACTGTCCAGTCCTTCGTGGTTTCAGTTTTTTAGCATCAGTCCGCGAAGTGACCTACTGAAAAAAATTACCAATCAAACATTTTAACTTCATATCTTAATTGGGACTGTTTAACTAACAGACCAGCCATCCACAGACTATCGATTAGAATCTAGTGCATCTTATGCTTTTAGACTGTTATAACAAGTTATCTACTTTGTTTAGCTGCTTTGGAGTCCCAGAGACCTTAGTGACTAATAACGGCTCACAATTCATTGCAGAATCATTCAAGTATTTTTGTAGTACAAATGGAATAACGCATCCATGTTCTCCATCCTATCATCCCC